TACGCTCGTGCTTAATAAAATCAGAGGTGTACTAAATGTATTAGCACTGAAAGCGCCTGGGTTTGGTGATAGAAAGAAAGAAATCATGAAAGATATTGCTGCTGTAACTGGAGCGACTGTTATTAGCGAAGAAATAGGTATTAAGATGGAAGATGCGACAATAGAGATGCTTGGTAGCGCTGCAAAAGTAGTAGCAAACAAAGATAAAACAACTATTGTAGATGGCAAAGGAAACCAAGCTGATATTGATGCAAGAGCTGCAACAATTCGTGGGCAAATTGAAAAGACATCATCTGATTATGATAGAGAAAAGCTCCAAGAAAGACTTGCAAGAATCGCAGGTGGTGTAGCTATTATCAAAGTTGGTGCTGCCACTGAAATGGAAATGAAGAACAAGAAATATAAGATTGAAGATGCACTTAATGCTACAAGAGCAGCTACGGAAGAAGGTATTCTTCCAGGTGGTGGGACAGCGTTTGTAAAGATTGCTGGTAAACTTGCTGATTTAAAACTGGCTGATGTAGATGAACAAATTGGTGTGCAAATCGTTCAAGAGGCTATTATGTATCCCGTAAGACAAATTGCAAACAATGCAGGACATAAAGGGGATTGGGTAGTTGAAAAAGTAAGAGAAGAAAAGGAATTTAATATAGGATTTGATGCAAAAACAGGTGAATTCAAAAACATGGTAACTGCTGGTATTATCGATCCTGCAAAAGTATTGAGAGTATCACTAGAAAATGCAGTATCTGCTGCAGCTATGATTCTCACAACTGATGCTGTGATAGCTGATGCACCAAAGAAAGAAGAAACACATAGTCATGCGCCTGATATGGGTGGTATGTGAGGGATGTGAGGTATGGGCTGAATGATGTAAAACACACATATAAAACCTTAGTTCGAAACAGCTAAGGTTTTTTTTATATTATAGAAAATACAAAAGTTATAATTCCCTTTTAAGAGGATTATGCAGAGTCTTTATCGAATTTGCAAAACGCACTGTTTTCATTAGTATGAAGAGATCTAGTTCATTTATCTGCCCATGAAAAAATACTTACTTGCAATAGTTGCTCTTCTGATCAGCACAACATGTGGACTTGTGACACATGCAGATCAATGAGGATATACAATTGATTCGTATCATGTAGATATGCATCTAAATCAAAATGGGACTATGGATGTCAAAGAGACCATCTGAGTATATTTTAGTGAACCCAGACATGGCATATATAGAGAAATTTCATCAGTAGATAGTTCAGGATATTATTTTGTTATGAGAAATTTTTCTGCATGAGAAGATCCTATAGCAAGTATTACTGCCAATAAAACTACATATACTATTCAGATAGGAAGTGCACAAACAACTATTACTGGACCTAAAATCTACAATATAACTTATACAGTAGACAATCCTATTGAACAATTCTCAAAAACTACAAGTAGTGGCAAT